TCGGGACCGACTGATTCTTCGTTCTTGTTTCTCTTTCTTATTTTTATTATTCTTTTAGTTTCTCTCTCTCCCTCACACACACACACTCTTTGCGCGCGTGTGGGAACTGTTGTTTCCCTAGTAAAAGGATTTTGCTTTGCTTGTTTCAATGATAAAGGGGTTTGAGGGCCGAGAGGGACAGTGGGGTGGTGTTCTGGTTCTGGAAGTAGGGCAAACATTTATAAAAAAAAATTAAAAAGAGAGGCATCATGGTGTGATTGATGCCTGCCAATTATTGTATTGGGTTCACAAAACACTTGTTTAATTGGATCGCTAAATGGTTGGTACGACGTTGATTACAAGGGATTTGTGTCTAAGTATAACTATTAAAATGAGAGGTGTCGTGAATTTTATTTTAATTTTTTATTAATATAAATATTTTGGTCAACTTATTATATATAACTTAATTAATTTTAAGTAATTTTTAAATTTTTAAAATTAATAATTATATAAATATTTAATATTTCTAATACATATAAAATTTAAGCTGATAACATTTAGAGAATAAATCTAAAATCTAATTAGTTGATTTATACCTCTTTAATTTTATAATTAAATTTATAAAAAGAATCATATTTAAAAGGTTCATGTATTTAATTTTTAATAAAAAAAATATATATCCTACTCACAATGAATCCCAATTCCAATCATCTAATTCCATCTAACAAAGGAAAAACTCTATTATGACAAAAAATACTGTAACGACTTTTGATTAATTACTAGCCTGTTTGGCATCTTTCATTTCCTGTTGACTTGAAAATAATAATAATAATAATAATCCCATCTTGATACAAAAATAACTACGAGTTGTGTTAAAAAACAGAGTCCAATGAACTGCCGGAATTTAAGCTAATTCCTCTTTAGTCCTGCTAGAAGCAAGAACGTCACACCTCGTTGCTCGAAACCATAGTTTTAAAACTCGACCCAGCCTGACGAGTTGATTCAGGATCCGGCCAATTCGGGGCTGGAACCTGGCCGAGTTGATGAAAAAATAAGGTAAGTCATAACTCGGTGCTATCCAGCCAACCCGGCAGGTTGACCTGGAAACCGGACGACCCGGTCAAAACCCGATGACCCGGTAAAAACCTGGAACCCGGGCCTTGGACCGGGCCGGCCACCGGGCTGGGTTTAAAAACTATGCTCGAAACAATGAAGTAGCCATTTTATTATTCTCAAATAAAATCAATTAACCAACCAGTCATTAGAGATAATAAAATCATTTTGACATAATACACCGATCATTAGCAAAGTGGCTTGGGCTAAATTTTTAAGATATTTTTGTTTTTAGTGTAGAGAAATTAATTGCTTGATTTCAAAAGCAAAAAATATAATAATTAAACTAATATATAAGAGTTTTTTTATTTTTTTAAGTGCAGTGAGATTATTAAATTATTATTAAAATAAAAAAATATATAAAGCTAGTATCCATGAGCTTTTTCATATTTTCAACATGGTTTTCAATGTTATAATCAATGTGATAGAAGATAATTTGGTTTTTTAATAAATATAAAAATATTATGTTTTTTTTTTAAATAGTTAATAGATGCAATGCATCTGCTATTGGATAGGAGATGCTCGCGTCGTTTAGGTCAGTCATGAGACATGGTCTATTGCTCAAATGTTAACTTTGAGGCTTTTTATCCCTGAATGGCGTGTGTGGCTAGCATATTTCTAGTTTAGTGCTGGCAGTATTTTTTTCCCCTCTCGTCCTTGATTTTCACATCACGCTCCTTTGCTTTTCAAAATATTCCTTCAATTTATTTTTTATTTATATTTGATTATTGTTTTTTTTTTTTAATTTAAAATATTTTTTATAAAAATATCTATCATATTTAGTTCTTAATATTTTAATTATTTTTTTATAATCTTTTTCTTAATTTATTTTGTTTTTTAATTCTATCTCTTGATATTCTACTTCATTTATTTCTATACTAGATTTGGCATTTGTTCTTTGCGTTGCTTTAAAAAAAAAACATTATTTTCCTGGTTTGTTTTATTTTTTAAGTTTTTACCTCATTGTTTTATTTTATTTTATTTATTTATTTATTATATTATATTATATTATATTTGATTTTGATTTTTGATTTTTGATTTTTTTAATTTCAAAAAATTAGAAATTTTACTTCGTAATTTTTTTAAATTCATTTTTCACGGGGCAACTTAGTCTCATGAGGAAAACTAATATGATCTAAATTTATTTTTTTAGATTTTTTTACTATATTTTTTAATTTTATCATTTGATGTTAGGTTGCTGGGTCTTTAACATCATGTCTTTTGATGCTTTTATTTCTACGGGGTTGTTTCAATATCACGTCCAAGCTAGCCGAGTAACTTCAATTGATTTATTTTTATTTTTTAATTTTTTTAAATCTCATCTTTTATCGTTTAGTTTTCTTATGAGTTAGCCTTTATTATTTTATTCATTTTATCTCTATATAAAATTATCTCAAACTCATAAATTAACCACAAGTTTAATATGCCGACTAATATTAGTTTTTTTTATCTTTGTTTTGTTTCTTGACAAGTGAGTTTCAATTTTTTTATAAAATTATTATTTTTTCATTTAATTTTTGTTTTGTTACTAAATAAAATTCCTGAGATCCTTTAAAAACATTTAGAAGATATATTTTCATAACAACGACACTTATTTATTTTTTCTAACTAGTCATTGTTTTTTTTTATTTTTATCATTAATTTTTTTTAAATAATCATAATATTAAATTAAATCTCTTTAAATTAACCATCTAAATCCTAGATTGTTTTTAAAAAACAACAACATTATCATCAATTTTTATATTAAATAAATTAACTTGAGTAGCAAGCAACATAACGCAAGTCATCCATGTAGTTAGCATTAATTGCCATGGAAAGGTGACATTTGTAGTTGACTAGAAAAGGGAACGAGGGCTTGAGCTGGTAGCTTCCTTCCCTTCTTAAGAATCTCGAGAAAGGGTCGTACAAAGAAGAGGACGTAGTGCCTGGCTGCATTAGAAGTTGGGTCACCAAACAATCAAAAATAATAAATAAATGCACCAATGCCACTCAGCGTCCCGTGTCAGGTATGCGACCAGTAATAAACTCAATAAAAACAGCTCGAGGTCGTTACTAACAACCTGTTTTGCGTCGTGGTTAGACAACTGTTTTATCATTTTTTGAGATTTTTTTTTTAAGATAGTTTTTATATATTGATACGAGAAATAAATTTTAAAATATAAAAAATATATTATTTTGATATATGCTAAAATAAAAAATATTTTAAAATACAAATATAAAAAATCCCTCTATCATCCGTCCCGGATTAATGAGAGATGAAAAAAAAAAAACGTAAATGATAATGTTCGGAATGGTTCTTCAATCCACCTACTTTCTTGGAAAAAATTAAAATCAAGGAATTTACTCACTATCCCCGACAAATGAGACGAAAAGGATCCTCCATCGAAACTGGTTTTAACTATATATTACCTGTAATATAAAACGAATGGCTGTTTTATTCTATACATTTTTACTGTTTATTATCCCATGTTTTACTTGGATTATAATAGTAAGACTTTTTTAAAAAAATTAATTCATCCCTTCAACTTTAATCTAGCACAATTAAGTTCAAATTAGAGTTTAATTAAATATTTTTTTATGTGATTAAGAGTTGAATTGAAAACCAGCAAAACTAAAATTTAAAACAAGGATAATACGAATGGCATGTTCAAATTTATCTGTGAAGTATATTTTATTTTTTATATTTTTCTTGCTAGAAGGTGACCCTTCCTTTGCATTTTTAATAATTGTATTTTGATATTAAACTTTATTTTTATTATTTTTTAGTTTTTAATAGGTGAAAAGAAAAGGAGAGGGTGAGCGGATCCCACCAAAGATAAAAAAACATCATTTTTTAAATTTTAGTCAAATAGGTAAAAAGAAAAAGAGAGGGTGAGCGGAATCCCACCAAAGATAAAAAACATCATTTTTTAAATTTTAGTCACTAATAATTATATTTTTGTTTTAAATAGTTTCATGTAATGAGAAAAGATTAATTTTGATTTTTTTTTATCTTTAATATGCCTAAAACAAATATGTAATCAGGAAGAAATCGGTTTTTGAGTTAATTTTAGATTTTGACCGGTTTTTAGTGTCTTTGAAGGTTAAGAATTGTTTTAAAAAGATTATTAATGGGATTTCTAAGTATATTTGGTTGAAAAATAAGTTTCTAAAAATAAAGAGCCACTGTTTTTTTTCAACCGCTGATATGATGGTTGTAATTTGAGTATGACGAGTGACATGTTTTTTTTTTTAATAATTTTGATGGGGGTCTCATTATTAAAAATAAATAAATAAATGCCTGCACGATTGGGCTTGACGGGGACTTTAGTTTTTTCTTGTTAGAGCAATGAAAGTGATTTTGAATTTGATGAAGGTTGAAAGTCGTGGGTAATGAAACAGCAGTGCCGGGGTCCTCAATTATACCCAAAATTGTACCATAGCAATTCCTTGAAGGTTTAACAGAATAATACGAGAGTGCTTGCCTAATTTATGAACTCTATTTCAATCCAATCACGAATACCCCACGGAGTTATTTCAATTCAACTATACGGCAAAGATCTTCAGTCAATCTTTCGGCACTTCAACATCTCCTTTTGCTAATTCCAAATGGAGAAAGAGAACGAGCACACGGCAGTGATCCCCTGTCACTGTATTATTTCTTAGCTCCCACCATCCCGATCAATTTCAGAATGAACCCCAGAAGTGCTTGCCAGTAAGGTCTGGGCCCCGCTCCTCTCCTCTCCTCTGTAACCGAAAGAAAGAAATATGAACATAAAGCGCCGTCCTTTGTTGACCCAGGAGCAAGGGATGTCTGTAAAACTAGAAGTAGTGATGATGTCTGATTACCTCAGCATCAGGTCCGCGCTGTCCATTCGCCTCAGGAACATGAACTCCCGCATCAAAAATTCATCCAGTAACTCTGATCTCAGGAATCTCAAGAACTTAACATTCAACTTAACCACGCTGTATTTCAACCAGCCACGACAGTGAAATCCGAAGTCACCCTTCCAAAAGCCCCTCGTAATTGAAATACAAATCTTATCGTGTATGTCTTGTTCTCAAAAAATTACAAAGCTGTTTGCTTACTATTTGACATGCAAAAACACGGTGTCATTGTTGCATAAGATCATGCATCCCATCAAAGAAAGAAGGTAAACATGATGCCTTCCTCCTCAAACCGGGGTGTTTTATTTCTCTCTATATCCAGGGTTGATAAGTATACATTTGGTAATTCTTTGCTTGTCTTTAGATGCCCCTTGGGAGTTGCTTGAACTTTCAAATAGAGTTGACAGAATCTTCATCACTGTCTTCACTGCTGCTGCTGCTGCTCCCCCCGCTATCGCTGCTTCCACTTCCACTGCTGCTACTAGAAGTGGAAGTCTGCTTATCTCTCTCATCTGCATTTTTCTGGGCTCTAAGGGCTTCTGCAGCATTGAGACCCTTGTCTGCCTCATCACCACTATCATCCACATCAGCTATCTCATCATCAGTGTTGTTTTGCTGTGGTACATTGATATCAAAGCCAGCATCAACTTTTTCTTCAATTGCATTCCCATCCTCAGGTGAGCCAGCACCAAAAATGTCCTCGATGTCTATATCTTGATGTTCTTCAACATCATTCCCAGGGCTTGGTGAGGAAGTTGATGCTTTTGGTGGATGAGTTGGATGCTCAGTAATTCCCTTACTGACAGCTTTAGTACCTATTGTGTAATAAGAGCATCATGATGCACGAAAACACACAATAAGATGTATAAATGGCAGATAACAGTAAGCCGAAACACTAAATATCACTTAATAATGAGCAATCATTGAAAATCACATAGAATAATAACGGAACCCAGGATATATTCTTATTTCTTGCTCAGTAATCATCTGAAAGTGTCATTTTCATATGAATGAATGGTATTGACAAATAGTAAGAGAGAAAAATAAATTTGTGGTTTCAATTTTACCAACAATCGAGCCATTTAAATATTCTTGGATTTCAGGAAAAGAAAATAACCAAACAAAAATGCATAAGTTATAGATTCAGCGTAAGAAAAGTTAAAGGCGGATCAAGAAAAAACAGTTAGGAAGTGTTTAATTGGCCATGTCGGCAACTTAAGGAGAGTTGTCTAATTGGATAGGTGGGTGGATATTGAGAATGGAAATCTAAGTGACGGAAATAAGAAGGAGCACATCCTGGTTTCCTCTAGAGATTTTTAAAAAAATCTAAAAAAAAATAATAATCCAACTCAAATACGGAAAAAAAAATCAAAAGGGTTTGCTAAGAGTTTTTTGCTTTTTAAAATAACCAGTCCTGCATGTCATGCAATATCTTCATTTAGATCTTCCAACAAAAATGCATCATTCCAAATGAAACATTCTTCCTAAGCTGTTGAATCAAAATGTCTAGTAAACTTATACAGATTAGAAACGTGGAAATTATGCACAACTTATATAAGCAAACAGTACTACCACATGGCCATTTCGGATGACAATTGAAATCTGGATTGGAAATCCTGACGAGCATATAATCCAACTTGGGTCACCTTAATTAAACGAAATGCATAGTCTATCCATCCCTTTAGATGAACGGCAGCAAATATCATATCAAATAACTAACAAGTACATCTAGTTAACAAAGGTGCTCTTCAACATGATTTAGAAATTACTTCTGCAACTTCTGAAACTTGGTAACTGGATTCAATTGTGTCGTTCTCAAATTAAAATTTGGTTTGAATTTCTGATCACTTGTATATTATCCAAAAATTGGACAGGCTCTGCCAATAAATAAACTATTCCAAATACCTGAAACCTGTGTTCCGCCCACATCAATCCGTTCCACCTCTACCTGCTCAGACATGAAGCACAAGAAATCTAAAGCATCAGCAGGGAATCAGAATGATATAAAGAGATTCGGATGATCACTTCTAAACAGCCAATGCAGAAACAGAGTAGGCAAACAAAGACTTATCGACAACAATTAGGCTTGAATAAAAAATTAAAAACAAAAACTAGTTCGGGTTGGCGCCATCGTTGTAGTGATCACTAAATAAAATTGCTCCAGTAACCCACCGGCACAGCAGGGAATCCAGTTCGCCCAATCTGACAAGGTTTCACACCCTTCCCAGCAGGAGACAGCACGGGAGCCTCCACAGTCGGCAAAGATTGAGCAGCAGATTCACCAGGCAATCTTAGATGCCTAAGCTGCTTAACAGCTCGATGAAGGCTCTCCAATCGGAAATCCTGGCCATCAAAAAACAAAACGGCATCGTTTTCTTTATAATCCTCACTGCTTCCTTCAAAAGTGACTTTCGGTTTTCCTAATTGATTATTCTGAAACTCGACCGAAACTCGATTGTCTTTATTCTTGTGGAATAACCCGGGCTTACTTTTATCGATCGAAGCGGGCTTGAATTCGTATCGCAAAGTGCAGTACTTGTTGGAGGGTTGTTCTTTAAAGGAAGGACCTAGGGTTAGATTGTACCACCGATCTGGCTGTGGAGCAGTTTTTGGCTCTTCTTTATTAGCCATGTCTTGCTGACTTGGCAATATCTGCTTTGTAGCGATGGGTACTGGAGGTACAGTACCGCTCTGCCTGGGCTACCTCATGGAGGAGGAGGTGCAGGGTTTTTGTTTTTGCGGTAGAAGACGGGGGAGGGGTGTCTCTATTCGGTTGGGTTTGGGAGTGTGTGGGGTCGGAGTTTAGTAGACAATGTTTTCTTGACACGTGGAAATAAGGCCAGTTGGGACACAGATGTGACGTGGACTGGATGGATGTGGTCATGGTATCTAAAGCGGAAGCTATCGCAAACATTAACTACATAATTATATTTATTTTTGTATTTTTAAAATATTTTTAAAATAAATAAAATAATAATTTTAAATTTAATTGGATGATATTAAAAAAATATATACATATTTTTACTTGGATTACCATACCCACACCGAGCCTTCACGTGATGATAAATCATAATCATTATTGTTGGTGGTGAATATTTAAAAGTATAATTGTAGTTATTTTTAAAAGTATTTTTTATTTAAAAATATATTAAAATAATTTTTTATTTTAAAAAATTATTTTTGATATTATTACATTAAAATAATTTGAAAATACTAAAAATATATTAATTTAAAATAAAAAAATAAAATTTAAATTTAAATTTTTCAATTTTTTTAAAATGTAAAAATAAAAGTCTTGATATGGATGTATTTTTTTAAAAATAAAATGATCTTTAGCATCATATAAATTAACTATACTCATCATGTTTTGAAAAATTCAATGTGATGTTGACATGGAAGTTGAATTTTTTTTTTTTTTTTTTTTTTGAAAGGCTACGAAAGATGAGATTTGCTTGTCGCTGTTGCGTTCAGGTCTTACAATTGTATCCAATTTCCTCCCCATTTTCAACTGGGATTTCGATTAAAATGTTGAAGAGTATCTTTCTGAAACTGAGCAAGAAAAATGAAGGATTCGGATTTGATTTGAATTCTTTCCTAGCAAGTTTCACAAAACCTTTGACAATTATACCTTTAGTACCTGACCTTAATTATAAGTCGATTTAAAATATGATTGATTAATGTATTAAAAACCCCAGTTAACATATTTATTTAAGCCTTAACTGGCTGATATGTTAAGTTTTTTTTAAAATAATAATATTATTTTGATTTAAAAACAAATAGGTGGAAATCAGGTTGGTTTTCACAAAGAATGGAATATACTGCAGGATAACCAAAATGCTGATTTCAAGACACATTTTTTGCGCTAAGAGGTATGTTTTTTTACGTAGTCTGGAGCTCAATTTTTTTTTCTTATTAATATTGATGATTACATAACACAAAGTGTAAGTTTTGTTTTACGAGTCTTGTTCGGGACCTAGTTTAGCACGCACAAGCTGACCTGCAATACCCTGCTAATATTCTGCTATGTAAATTCTATGACCTATTAGATTAATTATGGAGCACTCTCAATCATTTATAAAAATTATAACGCAACCGTACTAATAATTAAATCATATATGCAAGGGGTGGCATTGAACGTCGTAGCATTAGGATATTAAGATGTCGGTTCCCAACATTAATCACGGAAATCATAAATATAGCCAGAGCAAAATAGAAAGTGAGAGAGAGACCTTCGATATTATTGGACCCATCCCATTAATCTAGTTCGTGTTAAACATGACGGGATATTGTTTGTTTTTTCAGTTATATAAAATGTTTTTGAAACATATATATATATATATATATATATATATATAGTTTTATGTGTTAAAGTCAAAAATAAAATTATATATTATTATGATACATTTTCAAACAAAAAATACTTTAAAAAACTATTATTATAATCTCAAACTCTTATAAATACACATTACAAAAAATTAATTACAATCCGAGAAATATTACTTATAAAACAATAACCACTTATTTCACAAATTAATTATCAATGGAAAGATTAATATCAACAAATAAATCAATACCCATCAAAATATTAATAAAATATAGTAAATTAAAAAAATTAAATTACTCATCATGTAAAATAAATCATACCCAATCATAAACCCATTTTTATCATAAAAATAAACAATGCTATTTAAAAAAAATCAAAATTAATTACCTCAAATCAACAAAATGAATTTCCTCCGCAAGCTACCTCATTGACCTTCGGCCTCCTGACCCCGCGGCCTACGAAAGGTATTGGAAAATCAAGCAACTACCGTGAAAAAAAAAGGACCCACACGCATTCGCCCATATGCCTGTGGGAGCTTTATTGGCCTGCTCAAAGGCTACCTCGCCCTAGCTACAAAGGAAGGATGGCCGCCCGAATTTGAGAGAGTAAAGTGATGAAAATTGAAGTTCGAAAGAAAAAGAAAAAAATGAACTTTATTCCAGTATAGTGATTTTGCAATTGAATTTTTTCCCAGGTCCTTTTTAAATGAACTTTATTCCAGAATACAGGCAAACTAAACTAAAGAGGTTAAACCGGTTTCCGGTTGCTAGTTCCTTGTAAACGAATTAAAGACATTATTTTCTATGAAAAATATTTCTTTAAAATGAGTTAATTTTTATTAGTTTAGATACACTCAAGATAATAATAATGATAATGATAATAATAATAATTGTGATAATATTACTACTAATAATAATTATTATTATAATTATGATTATAATATTTTTAGTACTAATAATTTTAATGACAATAATCATAATTATAAAATGATTGTTGATATAATAGTATTTTTAGCAATGATGATAATAATAATAAAATGATGATTATTTGAATAATAAAATGATGAAAATTTTAATTTTTCATGTACAATTTATTGTTTTTAGTTATACATATAATAATTAAAAAAATAATAAAAATAAAAATTTATAATAATATTCAAGAACTATATTAAAATTAAGGAATAAATGAATCTACTAAAATATTATTTTTAAAAAACAAAACAACAGCAAATGATCAGGCAGGTCCTGACCCACCAATAGCAACCATGTTTGTGCGCCTAACCTTTTTTATTTTCCCCTCTTATGTTTTTTTTTTTTAAATGATAGACAACAGGATCGTTTGTCGAAATGCGCAAGGAAAAAAAAAAAGAAGGCACTCCCAATTCTCGAATCTATGACCTCTGATTTGTCACGCGCACTAAACAGCCGAGATACAATATAAAATCATAAAACATGTATTGACGTGCTTTATTGGTATAATGTTTTGATTTCCTTTCCTCCGAAACAAGGTTACCATCAGGCCGCGCAGGATGGAGAGTGGAGATTCAAACCACCAATCTCCTTCGAGGACTAACGAATAATTGATTTATTGAAAATAATACAAAGAATGAAATATAATCATCTCTGCGATTTTTTTTTAAAATAAAATTATTCACAACGAAATTACTGAACATATTTTCCACTAGTTCCATGCTCCAACACTTGCGACACTAATTAAGGCCGGGAAGCCCGCCCAAGGCCACCTTAAGCATCTCCGTGAAATGGAAAAACATCATCACGGTGGACACGGGCACGCTTACAGAAATCAAGGCAATGAACCCTAAGGCCAAGCCAGGCCTTGTATCCATCAACTGGGATTGCAAGAAACCCATCACCTCACATATCAATGAATCGTAGCTAGTAAAATAACGCTTTTCCCACTCCATCCAATTAGCAGGTGGCTCATAGTTCCTCTCAACCATCTTCATCTCATGAATTCTTTTTCTAAGAACAATCATGTTCTCATCCACTATCCTGCCGCTGAAGTAATTTTGATCATGTGATTCTCTTCTTGAAGCTGAGATTCTTGCACTTACCCTTTTTCTGGGGTCGAGTTTCGTTTTCGAGGAGGCGAAAAGTGGATGATAAGAAAGGGAAGATGAACACACAGAAGTTGATGCCATGTTTGTTTATGTTGTGATATGTATGGAAAATGATATCTTTTGACCCAAGAGAACTGCATTTATAAGCTTAATTAGCTAAGTAAATTAATCAAAGTTGATGATGATAATGATAATGATAATGATAGAAAAAGAAAAGGAGGAGGAGGAGGAGTATAAAATAATGCGAAAGGGCCGGGAATGTGGGGGCGGAATGTTGGGGGCGGTGGTGGCCCTTGTGATGAGGCAATAATTTAGGCCAGGAAGTTGTAAGGAGAGGCAAGACCGTGTCCTTGTCTGCACAGTTAGCGCGTAGAACGTTGGAGTGGATTCGGTGATGGTGACAAATTTCACATTTTTTCTCTCTCTGATTTTTCTTTTTTAAAGATCAAATGTCACATCCTTTACAATAAACTATTGCTCGGTTCTTGTTGTGATTGCTAAGGGATAAAAAAAGAAGAATAAATAAATAAGTAAAAGTTTTAAGAGTGTAAAAATATCAAGGAATTAAATATTAAAAATGCTTGATAGTAATTACAAAATTAGAAGTAAAAATACCCCCACCATAAATTAAATAGAATTATAGATAATTAAATAATACTAAACTTGTGAAAAACTAAAATATTACCCTACTAGAATCCCTCTCCTCCTCCTTCATTTAGGATTTGTTCAGAAATATAATTATAATTAATTTTTAAAATATTTTTTATTTTAAAATATATTAAATTAATTTTTTTAAAAAAATTATTTTTGAGATCATTTTATCAAAATGATCTAAAATATATTAAAAAATTTAAATATTTTAAAACACGAGCTCGCCTCTAATTCTAAACACGTTATTAAAAAATCAATATTTAACCCGCCAGGCAAGGGTACAGGAGTTAAAAATTACTAGTGTATTTTTATTTCTTTCACCGTCATACAAGACATAATAAAAAAGTCACGGTCTCCTGCAACGCGGAGAGGCGGCCATGCATCGACATTGACACGTATTTTGAAGGGAGAAAAATTATTCCACACGAAATATCATCAGAGAGCTATGTTATTGTATCCTTATCAATGAATTGGCTTAAGATATTTTATAAAACATTTTATAATAAACCTACATAGTATGCCGCCGGTGTTTATATATAATTGAATTTGGAGGTGGAGGAAGAGGAGAAGTGCCCTCACTGATTAGGAGTTGACGATGATTTTGATGCGGGCGGCCGAATTTAGTGTTTCTTTTTTTTTCTCGAAGGAGAATTTAATTCATACATATTTTATATCTAATAGGAAAAAGAACAGTCACTCGTCCATATCGAT